CCTGCCACCCGCCAGCCCTGCGCCCCTGTGTCAGATCCCTCTGGCAGCAGAGGACACGCGTGTCCACGACATGGAGGGGATATGTCTCCCACCCAACCCACCCCTCCTCCAGCCCTTCTGATGCAGAGGGATGAAGAAGCAGAGGAACACTTGGAGTCAGCCCATGGGGACACTGTGCCTCCTCCCAGGAGCATCCAAAACTCTCTGGCCTCTCTGCAGGAAGATTTTGGAGGCTGGGCGAGGTCCAACACGCAGCAGGTGGACAAGCTCCTGAAGATCAGTGACCACCTCCTGCAAGCTCAGCACAGGGCAAACAGGCACCTGGTGTCCATGACCCGGGAGATGCGGGCCATGTCCCGCTCCCTGGCCACCATCACCCCTGCCATGGGACCCTTGCTGCAGCCCACGGCCAGCCCGCAGGACCCCTGCACTGCAGACATGGACTGGATGTTGCTGCCCTCCGACGTGCTGGAGTTCCCTCCCAGCACCCCACAGAAACATGAAGGAGGCCCAGCGGCCCCTTCCCCCAGCAGACCCTCTTGTGCCACCCCTGCCACCAGCCCAGCGTGCTCCAAGTCCTCAAGCTCATCATCCGAGGGGGAACACTCCAGATCAGGGCACCCTACTAGGGCCAAGCGTGGTGGGAAGACCAGCGCCAGACTTCGGAAGCGGAGGAGAAAGTGAGGGTCTGCAAACCAGAACATTCACTGCGGACCACAGCTGCTTGGAAAACCCTTTGAAGGTCCCCATGGAGACCAGGCGCTCCATCTCACCTTGCTCTGCCAAATTCCTCCTGGAATGAAAGGCGTGTTGGTCTTTTGCTGGGGTTGGGAAGGTGGCATCTCCCCCAGGAACGAGCCCTTGCCGCTGCATGGCAAGAACTTGCTTGGGAACAGCATGATCTTACTAATTTTCTTTTTTCTTTCCTTCCCAGCACATGTGACCTCCCTGCTTATGGGTCTGGGACGGGTGGGAGGGCAGCGAACCCATATGGGAGAGCTGGAGGAAAGGCTTCAGTGCAAAGATGGGTGAATGAGGTGGCGGGTGGCCGGGCAGAACGGGCACCTCTTCAGCCCAACCAACAAGCTTGCTGCTGGATTTTGGCCTCAGTAGCATCTCCAAGAGGTAACCCTCCAAGGCGGTGGCCCCCAGAGCCACCTGCACCTTCTGCAGAGGCTTTTCTTGCTGCTCTCAGATGTCCCCAGTGTTGCTCATCCTCCTCTCAGCTCATAGTGTTGTTCTTCTTTCGGAAACCACCCCAACTCCAGCCATGGAAAACCCCCACCAGATGAAACTTGGGTTCGCTTTGCTCTGGGATTATTTTTTTTTGCCTGGTGGGGTTTACCTGGCAGGATTTTGGGGCTACCCCCAGCCCTCACCAGGTTGCTTCAGCTCTGGCATTTGGTCGCCGCTTTCCATGTTCTCCTTCGAAAGAAGAGGTTGGCCAAGCTGGCTGGGCATAGGGCCGCAGAGCCAGGGCAGACTTTGTGCCTTGAAGGCACCTCTCCGGGGTTAAGGTGCGAACATCTCGGCACGGTGGCTTGCGACTCCTTTCCTGCCTGCGCCCTGCCCACATCCAAGGCTGGTGAGGGACAGATGCTGCAACTGGTTGGGATGGGTTTGGGGTCCCCCAACACATCTCCCATGAGAAGGGCGGAGTCCTGCTCAAGCAGGAGTGGCCTTCAGCGACGTTGAAGGCAAGTTCTCTTTTGGTTTCCAGTCTCGTGGTACGCAAAGGGGCTTGTCTAGCATCAGACCTGCCTTTGCCTGGGCCAAAACAGCCATCATGGGACTGGGGATCCTCAATCTGCCCTTCTGCAGAGCACATCCCCAGCCACCCCAGCCTGGCATCAGAAGGGTTTAGCCCTGCCTGGAAGCCCTGCAGAGCTTGGGACCCTCAGGGCTGAAGCAAGAAGATGAAGATGAGCTATTCCCCCAGCTTGGGAAGGGGAGGTTCCCATCTTCTCTTTTGCAGCTGTTAAAGCAAAGCAGAAAGTTTTCCTGACCCTTGTATGGCAGAGGGCACCATGCCCAAGGCGGTTGGAGCAGCCACAGTCCAGGAGAGCAAGGGGCTTCATGAGAGAAATGAGGACCCTGGAGCAGCAGAGACCGGCTGGGCAAGCAGAGCACTTGCTTTGGGCAGGGACAAACCCAGGGGGTCAAGTTTGCTCAGCTGTGCTCCGGTGGCCAAGGACATCTCCATCCCTGGCCACGCAGGGCTGGGCTCCTCTTTGCACACTTAGGCCTCCACCTCCACCCCTGCAAAGAGGGAGAAAGGCCAAAACGCGAATGTCCTGACATGACCAGTGAAGGTGATGAAGGCTGAAGATGACGATGGGTGTAACAGCAGCCAAGCTGCTTGGACCAGCCTGGGACCAGCTGTTTGGTGTCTCCCATGACTCAATAACAGACTAATTCTGCCTTTTCTCCCTCTCCAATCCTCTTCCCCTTCCTCCTCCTCTTCTCCAGAAAATTAAAGCATTTGGATGACGCTGGCAGATGGAGAGAAAATATTCCCAGCCAGTGAAATATTTGTCCAGCTTGATGGTCAAAAATTGCATCTACGAGATTGGTCTGAGAAATCTGCTGTGCCACCTCAACACTGTCCACAGGCCTATCCTGGGTGGCTTTGGTCTCTGCTAACTCCCCTTTCCCACCCTCTTGAAAGCGTTGATGGTCATGAAGCACAAAGAGGAGTTCAGCTCTGTCATGAAGGGTCTCCTGGACATTTTACTCCTGATTAAGCAGACAATCTCTGAGAGAGATAACTACAAGCTGAAGAACTTGGCCAGCACTTAACTCTGGTGGCACTTTGGTGACTGCAGCGCCATGGAGAATACCAACATCGTGAAGTACCTGTATGAGGTCCTGGATGTCGACGTGGTGAGGAAACCCAGGCTGATCCTCACTTACACCAGCCTGGAGTCTTTCATCTCCCTCCAGCCCTTGCTGGCCGAGAAGCTCCTCACCAAGCCGTCAGCCCAAACATTGGTCACCCACAACATCACCCTCTCTGAGCTCCAGTCCTACCAGCACAACCTCGAGAAAGGACTCCAAAAAACATGCTATCTTATCAACTCTCACTGGCACGGCTTCAAAGAGAAAGTCCAAGACCTGGGCAAGGTCAAGAGCAGGATCCAACCCCTCTAGCCTGGGGTATGAACTTCCTGGGTGGGCACACAGGAGCATGGTTTTCCTACCTCTCCTCCTGCTTTCTAAGCTCAAAGACAGCCAGGGAATTGCTTTATCAGAGGATGCACCTCACTGCTCTTCGGCTCCTGCGCCTGCCTACTGATGCTGAAGAAATAAATCATTTTCCTAATTTGTTGTGCATTCCAAATGACTTCCTCTTGCTTCCTGTTCCTACAACATCCACCTGCTCAAAAAGACAGACATGCGGGTGGTGGGTACTGCGGTGACGGGTGCTTTGCAGTGTGATGGCCCCTCGAGCCCATGACACAGCTGGGACGAGCACTATGAGCATGTATGTGAGATGTGTGGCCGTCCCCAAGATAGCTTTTGGCTTGAAGACAAGCAAGAGAGCACCAAGAGGTCCTCTTTGCTCAGGGAGGTGCAGAGAAAGCCCATCAGCCTGCTCCCCATGGGAACAACCACCTTGTTTCCCTTTGCATGGTGCATAGAATCATAGAGTCATAGAACGGTTTGGGTTGGAAGGGACCTTCAAGATGATCTAGTTCCAACACCCCTGCCATGGGCAGGGACACCTTCCACTACACCAGGTTGTGCTAGTTATGCTTGCCATAGAACACCGCAAGGGATGCGGCATCCACAACTTCTCTGGGCAACCTGTTCCACTGACTCACCACCCTCATGGTGAAGAATTTCACCCTTAGATCTAATGGAAATCTCCCCTCTTTCAGCTTAAAGCCATTGCCCCGTGTCCTGTCACTACACACCCTCGTCGAAAGCCCCTCTCCAGCTTTCCTGTAGCCCCTGTAGGCACTGGAAGGCTGCTAGAAGGTCTCCTCGGAGCCTTCTCTTCTCCAGGCTGAACAGCCCCAACTCTCTCAGCCTGTCTCCATAGCAGAGGTGCTCCAGCCCTCAGATCATCTTCGTGGCCTCCTCTGGACCTGCTCCAGCAGCTCCATGTCCTTCTGATGTTGGGGACTCCAGAGCTGAACGCAGCACTGCAGGGGGGGACTCACGAGAGCTGAGCAGAGGGGCAGAATCCCCTCCCTCGACCTGCTGCCCACGCTGCTTTGGATGCAGCCCAGGACACGGTTGGCTCTCTGGGCTGCCAGCGCACGGTGCCGGCTCATGTTGAGCTTCTCATCCACCAGCACCCCCAAGGCCTTCTCCTCAGGGCTGCTCTCAATCCATTCTCCACCCAGCCTGTCCTTGTGCTTGGGATTGCCCCGACCCACATGCAGGACCTTGCACTTGGCCTTGTTGAACTTCATGAGGTTCGCACAGGCCCACCTCTCTCCAGTCTGTCAAGGTCCCTCTGGAGGCATCCCTTCCCCAAAGCGCGTTGACCACACCACACAGCTTGGTGTCGTCACCAAACATGCTGAGGGTGCACTCAATCCCACTGTCCATGTTGCAAAGATGTTAAACAGCACTGGCCCCAACACCAACCCCTGAGGAACACCACTCGTCACTGGCCTCCACTTGGACATTGAGCCGTTGGCCTCAACTCTTTGAGTGCGACCATCCAGCCAATTCCTTATCCACCGAGTGGTCCATCCATCAAATCCATGTCTCTCTAATTTAGAGACAAGGATGTGCAGGACAGTGTCAAAGACACAGATAGCTGTCCTGCTGGCAGCTCTCCCATTTGGATCATGCCAAAACAGCCCAACTCAGCCACAATTATTGCCCCAAACTTGTGGGCATCTCACCTGGTCCTCACCAGCGAGGACAAGCAAAGAGACGAGCGCACCAATGTTCTACCGAGAGACAGGGACAAAGCAAACGTCCTCCCCATGTCCTGACCCTAAAACCCCATACAAGGACTTCTGCCCAGAGCCGTGCTCCTCCTCGGTGCCACTTCAAGGCACAAACTGCTTTTCCTCCTGATTTACATCCTCTTCACCAGGCACAAGGAAGCTCGCAGGGTGATTCAGCTGGGTCAACCTGCCCTGGTCCCCTCCTCCTGGGGACCACGGAGGGGACAACCTGCTGCTGAATCATCTCAGGAAGAGATGAACTGCCCAGACACCGTGGAGAGCATTTTGCCCCAGGTCTAATAATTATTAGAAATATTTTTTATTACTCACACCTAATATTATTCCTGATAAAGATTATTCTATTCATTATTTTACTACCATTCATTTCAACACCAGCCCTGCCCGGGAAGCCGGTGGTTCCAGGTGACAAGTCTATTCAGGAAACAGTTGAACAGCCTCATGGGCACAAGCATTTTCCTCCTTTTTGCTAAAATCCTGGGAAACACCAAGAAACACAAGTGGCAGCACCACTGGTGCAGACTCTACTATGTGGGGTCTGCTCCTGCAGGAGCAAGGGCACATTTCAGGGCAACTGATGGGGATCTCCTCCATGATCCTCCCTTTTCCTTCTATTTTTCCACCTAATTCAAGGTTAAATTTCCCCTTTTTCCTCAAGAAAAAAATCAACTTTTGCTTGGTAGCACAGAGCCAGCCATGAGTCCTTCGCGTCTGGGAAATCCCCAATTGCCCTTGACATGAGCAGCTCCGTGAGGA